TCAAATCCCACGACATCATAATTTTGTGTGTGTGTGTGTGTGTGTATGAAATCTCCCTCCCCTCTCATTTAAACTATTGCTTGTACTAAAAAAAAAGATTCAGAAAACTTAAATAAGGGAATTAGGAAATGGGAATTGGATCAACTCGCCATAGTTGATCTCATTCCTTAATTTAAGGGTATTTGATTGCGAATTATAACTTGGAACCCACATTACTTTTTATTTATTGTTATAAGTAAATGCTCGGAAAATCATAAATTAGAATCATTCCAATACTTATGTATTATTAAATGCCAATGGATTGCCCACTTGTGCTTGAGGAGAAATTATAGAATAGTACGGATGTACCACGTCAGCATGTGGTACTCCCATTCAAATATTGCCATGTGTCCATTTTAAAATATAAATTAAACTTTTTTTACAGCTGGATTTATTTCTTAATTTTTATCTTATGAAATAAAATTAGAAAATTGAAAAACTTAAGAAAAAGGAAAAAGAAAAAGAGAATTCCCAATAGCAACCCCTCTCGAACCCAACACCTCTAATCCCAAAAACATGCCATGACCGCCACCCATCTCCACACTACCTGCCATGACTGCCACCCATCTCCCTTCCTCTTCCTTTTTCCTTTTCAACCCTTATAGTAATTGTAGGTAATGGAGTTTAAAGAGAGGTAGAGAAAACTAGTATTGATGAATATGATGATGATGATGATGAAATGGAATAGTGGAAGCGTTGGTGTTTCTATTAATGGTTGGGAAATGTTAGAGTGAATGCAAGACAGAGAGACCCTTTGAGAGAATTGTTGTATTGTATTGACTGAAATAATTGTTACCAAGAAGTTACATTATTGGATCTAGGTTTGGAAATAGTATGATGATGGCAAAGGTTGTCATGATCAATTTCAGAGAAAGGGGAATTAAGGAAGATGAGGGTTTGGACTCCGGTGGCAATGGTGAAGAGGAAAAGAGACGGGGAGGAAGAGGAAGAGAGAGAGGGATGACATCTGGAACGCAGTGGGGTTTTAGGGGAGGGGCGGCGGTGGGGAATAATTTTTTTTTTTATTTTTCTGTTTTTCAAATTTAAAATTTTATTTCATAATATAAGTCCAGCTGTAAACAAATATTTAATTTCAGTTTTAAAATAGACACATGGCAATAATTGAATGGAAGTATCACATGCTGACGTGATACATCCTTACCATTGTATAATTTCTCGTGCTTGAGCATGTGATATTTTGCTTGATAAAAATATCACCCTCCCTATGCTTCAATTTAATCTTTAGCCTAGCGATTTTAATACTTATTTTTTATGCAAGTCATATGTGATTAGAGAAAAAATTATAGATATTCAATTTGAAGTAGAGAGTGCTAAAATCGTCACCCTCGTCTCATATGCACATGAGGTATTTTGGTCAATTCACAAGCCAAAATATTCAATTTTGTAAGTTTAGAGTCAAAAAAGTAATTACATGTTTTACTTGGAATGGGGAAGTAAGGAATTCGATCAACGACCCATTAAATACGTTTTGGTGTTTTTGTGATTAAAATTGGACTCCGTTGGGGGTTGGATGTTGGGGAAATACATCCCAAACAGAGTAAACAAAAATTTCAGACGCCAGTGCAAGCAAGTAGAAGTAGTTGGGGCGTTGAGCTAATAACTCACCTACATGCCTTTCACTCTATTTATTATCCTTCCCATCTATCTATCTCTCTCTCTCCCTCTATAGATTAGTGTTGTAGGCTGTTAGATCTGCCATAGCTTCATCAATGGCGGGAGCATTATCCGCTCTCAGGCGCTTGTACCTCTCTCTCTATAACTGGACCGTCTTCTTCGGATGGTACCCACTCCTACAATCTCTCTCTCTCTAGTGACCACTATAACTTATTGAATTCTATATTTCATGGTTTCAGGTTGCAGGTACTGTATCTTGCTCTCAAGACTCTCAACGAATCAGGCCACCAGCATGTTTACAAAGCCGTTGAACGCCCACTTATTCTTGCTCAATCCGCCGCCGTTTTGGAGGTTCACTACTTCTACTCCCTCCAATTATTATTATTATTTTCTTCGTTGTATTTTAAATTGGGGGATGCATTTTTCACATTTCTTCTTCTTCTATTGTTCTCTAAATTGGATTTTGGAAATGTATGGAGCAACAGATTCTTCATGGTCTAGTAGGTCAGTGTCTTTAAATTTTTTCTTTCCTCAAGTTTTTTTTTTCTTTTACATAATTGTAAACAAGATGGTCTTTAACTGAAATTTAGCTGATTTCTTTTGTGGGTTTTAGTTAACATTGTTAATTGTTCTTTCTATGTATTGTAAAGGTTTGGTCAGATCTCCGATATCAGCGACGCTGCCGCAAATTGGTTCAAGATTGTATCTTACTTGGGGAATCCTCTGGAGTTTTCCTGAGGTACCAATGCAAATTCCAAGTTGTGATCACTGTTAAACATTCTGTACTTCAAAGATTTTTTTTCTTCTCTTCGTTTGGGGTTTAAGATTTTACTAACAATATGAAGCCTATTGCGGCAGACTCAGAGTCATATACTTGTGAGCTCCTTGGTCATCAGCTGGTCTATCACTGAGGCAAGTGTTTCCTGGTTGCCAATTCTTGCCTTTTTTACTCACTTTTGTTTTTACAGCTATGTAAAAGGTATTATTATTGTATTGCTAGAGAAACATTGTTGTGTCCAACTGCCTAGTGACCTGCGAGTAGTGTTTTTATTTTTGGGGTTTTATCCCTTATGCAATCTGAGTCATCCAGTATTATTCTAAATCAATATCGAAATATAGAATCAAGAGGTTTAGTTGGTGCACTAAACATAATTTGTCTTGCTTCCCACAAAATGGCATGACCGCTTTAATTGAAGATATAGATCAAATGACACTTTTTATCTCATAGTAAAGGGCAAGGGGTGCCAGCATTGATAAATTTTAAAACAGTTTCATTGTTCATATCTCATAATTGAGGATGTATTCACTTGGTTTATTTGAGAACAGAATGTCTCTAGCCAGTGTGGTTCTCACCCATGGGACATTTTTATCCTTGAATTATAAGGTTTATCATTTTGGATTGTCTATAAAATGACCCATTAATACCCAGGCTTTTAGCTTAATGAAATGCTCTCTGTGATCATAATTTGTTGCTTTAAGCATGAATTTTTAAAAAAATTTTGTTTTCTAAAGCAGTTGGCTTGAACTTCTGCTTTGAAACACGTACTAAGAACAACTATGCATGTATGTTTTCCGCTTCTTAACTGCAAATTTTAAATCCAAAATTTTTATGTTATAGCTGGCCTTTTTATCGAGTTGTATCTATACAGAACAATCATAAAATAAATTCCCAGACAATTGCTTCTCTGTTGAAACTTCCAGAATTCCTGACTTAGTGTAATACATGCTGCATCCAGGCGTCTATTGCATTAATACATGCTGAATCCTGATGTTGGTTGCATTAATGCATGCTGCATACTGATGTTGATTGCACTCATGTTGCTTTTCTCCAGTGGATAAGATGTAGTAGGTGGGAAACAAATTCAGATTCGTTTCTTTGTAATTGCAGATTATTCGATACGCTTTCTTTGGCATGAAGGAGGCACTTGGTTTTGCACCTTCATGGCTCTTGTGGCTCAGGTTGTACGTCAGTTTTGTGCCCACTGGACGGGAATGTAATTAGTTTGAGTTCTGTGATTCATTCATTTTTTTTTTGTTCTTTCAATCCCATGCAGGTATAGCACATTTATCTTGTTGTATCCAACTGGCATCACAAGTGAAGTTGGTCTAATTTATATTGCCTTACAATACATTCAGGTATCAAATTAAATGATGCATAAAACCAATAATTTTTTTTTCAGTCCCTCTTTTTTGGGGTGAGGGTGTTGCAAAAGGGGTGGCTTTCGTGGGTTTGAGGGGTTTCGTGTTGTAGCCGTTTATTACTCATCTTCTCTGTGGAACTTGCCGTATCTTCTACTTGTAGCGAAGTGTTTGAAAGTATCTGTGTATTTGCAGAAGTCTGAAAAGTATTCTATAAGGATGCCAAACAAGTGGAACTTCTCTTTCGATTACTTCTATGCTGCCATTATCGCTCTAGGAATCTATGTCCCAGGCATGCATTCTTTCATTGGCATATTTTACCACACATACCTATTCTGCCTCTCTTTATTCATTTTCCAATTGCTTTATCTGTTGCAGGCAGCCCTCACATGTACCGGTATATGCTCAGTCAGAGGAAGAAAGCTCTTTCAAAAACCAAAGTGGCGTAGATGGCGACAAAGGTTTAATGTATTTCTCATGGTCATGATAATATCAGTCGTATGGTTGTGTGTAAGATGAAATTTTATTCTTGAAAAGGCTATTGATTTATGTTTTTGACAAATTTTCTAACATGCTAACAAGAATAATTGATCAACCGGTTTATTGCCAAACAAAAATTATTTGATTTTAACACGATGTATGGGATGCTGATTTTATTTTTTCTATTTATTGATATGGTATATGAATCCTTTTAGGATTAAGTTTGTAGTTCATATGATGTGGTTTTGGTTAAAAAACAACACGATTAATACCAGATGTTGAGAGTGGATTAGTATTAATCACAATCCTGAAACCAGTTGAATGGATTTTATTGATGCTACCTAAGAATCTGGTTATAATAAAACATAGTTTGCACTCTAAGCTGTATTGCCAACAGAGAACAGTCCAAGATAGAATTATAGACAAAAAAAAAAAAGCGAAGAAAATATTGTCAAAATAACTTGTACAGGTACAAACAGAACAAATTAGAGAAAACAAGACCAGTCAACATTTGCAAGTGAGTACAATGTACACAAAATTTACCTGAAGATTGTGGCACAAAAACCAAAAGGAAAGTGTTTTGAGCATGACCCCAATGCATGCTCATAAAAGAAGAGGGGGGCAAAAACATATGGAAGATGCTTGCTATAAACAAATAATAATCAAATCATCAGATTCATCCATAAAATAAAAAAATTACAAAAGGATAGTGATTAATTGTTATCATCAGATTCATACTCAAAATTCCCATAGCCATGCCGTATAATCCACTTATTCGAGTCAGAAAAACAAGAATTCTATATCCTTTGAATGTTCAAAATCTACACCGTTTGCGTTGCAGTGGAACAAATTTTTCAGCACAAAAGTTGCTAAAATGTTTAAGAAATACAACACCAGAACACTTGAATAATCTTCAACTTTAAAAATAGAGGAAAAGAAAGTACAGAATGTTTCAGCAACTGTTCCTCTTCCACAATTTCATTCTTCAGCAGCGCTGGCAGCACTCAGGTCCACACTCAAGTCAAGAGTCTGAAAGATATTCCCCTACTTGTTAGGGCTTTCCAAAGGGTTATGCAATAAAGGAAAAACTGGAAACAAAAACTGTTTCTTTTGATTTTGGTCAAAATTAATGAAGGATCTAAGCATGTTCAATTGTATAAGTTGGCTAACTGGAGTGAACTTGAAAACTTACCTTTCCAGTTATCTTGCTGTACATGGCGATCACATCTTGGACCGTAGTCTCGAAGTGTGTGGTAGCATCATAACTCTGCAAAGCATTCCAACTCCAAGAAATGAACAAAGACTTCAAAGTCTCAATGGGAAGAAACACAGGCTAGAAAGTCACATGGAAAAGTATTTGGAATAGGCTTTACAAATCATTATCTGAATATCAACTTATGGCCCTCCTTTGCTTAGAGCAATTGAAAATGAGGGAAATCATTGAAAACAGTATGTGAATTCATTACACCAATAAATAAATGACTTGGATCTCCATCAAGAAGAACCTGTTGCCAGTCTTCATACCAGATAGCAAGTCTCAGCTTTAATTGCAGCTGAACAAAAAATGTTGGTTATTCTAGCACTAAATATCCTATAATTTCTCTTCTCCACTTTTGAGCTCTAACAGTTGTCATGAGTGCAAATTGAAGTATAAATTTATGAGACTACAAATAATCGAAACAAAGATGTAGGATTTCATTTATTCTCACCGCAGAGATGAAACAGTTGTCCCCATCATTCTGGTTGGTAGGTTCGTATCTGTCGTAAGTGTCGAAGAAGATTTCGTCTATAGGCCCAAGGAGATCTGTGCCAGCTTTCAACTCCACCTGAGGATTATCAGTCTCTGCTTCTGTCAACACAAAAGCAATGTATTTCCCTTTTGGAGCTACATTGTGGGAATAGGAGCAGCAAAACAGGTACCTAGAACAGAGGCACAGAACTTTCTTTGGTAATCATTGAATATCTAGATTATATATTTGTCATTACATGTTGGATTATATATGTAGTAGTTATGTTCTTGGCATGAGGGGTAACAACTTACATATCTGATTTACGTCCAAGTTGCTTCTGGGGTAGAATAACCTGGACTGAGTGAGAATCATGGGTGCTTGGGATTGGATGACTCATAATACATATAGCACGGGCAACTTTCCCTATCTTCTTCACCTGTTGCAAGCGACGGAGATTGCAACTCAAATCAGTTGTCAAACCACAAATTATTGTGTCGAATGACACTGCTGATATTCAAAGATTTATTAGTTTTACCTTGTCAGGCAAATACGAAGGATCACATACAACTTTTTTGCATTTTGCAGTTTCTCCTTCGGAAGTCACACCAAAGGCCTTTCCGTTTTCGAACTCTACCTGCCATTTTGCAACATCCCCATTGTAGATACCACATTCAATTTGTTGGTTACCACATGTACTTGAAATTTGAGAAAATCATTCAGAACAGTACATTGTCTCCATGGATAAAATAACTCTATCCATAGACTTCCAGAAGGGTCAATTGGTTCTATCTCTCAGCCTATTTGAGCTAGTCATGTTATGTTCAGAGAACAAAAACCCTTTATACCATTACAAGATATAAAAGATGGGATTTAAAAGGTTTATGACAGAGCATTTGGATAATTTTGGATTTGCATAAATAAAACACCCAAACACACACACCTTGCATTCTGGCTTGCTGAGCATGTAGGTGCCACCATAAACAGCACTCAACCGAGCAAATGCCTGCCGATTTCATAGCACATATATTCAGAGGAACTAAGTTGCATATCCATGAGAAACTACAAATAATGGTTGAAAACATACCTGGGGCAGCTCTCCCAGACCGTACAGGGGATAAATATAAGGAGAACCTCCTTGAAAGCGTGCTAAAGACTCTGCATATAACTTTTCAAAAGGAAAGTAGAGTGCATTATAAAACACTGTCAAGTTCACTATTGCATACAGTTGGAAACGAAAATAGAAAAGCACCTTACACCAGAATGTTTACAGTTTCTTCACCTATTACCAATCTTATTTCTATGATTCTATCACTTGTTGTCTTAGCATCTCAAACTTCTTCTTTAAAATGTTATCTTTACATAATTTTTCTTGCTCCATTTTTAAGTTTCATAAGAAGAGAGATGGAATGGAGCAAGCCATTACCTTCATCCTCTTCACAAAATCCATAGCAGGCTCGCCCAAGTAAGAATCATCTTGGTGGAGCGCTAGCGCATGCCCAATGAAATCAACCGTGTTGTCATCTAGCCCGTACTTCCTATGTCAGAAACAAAAACCCTAATGTCATCATGCAGAAATTGAACGTATAGCTCAATTAATGTTTAAGAGACAAGTGAAAGTCAACAAATAAAAAGGGTAAGGAGAAGATGTGGAGGGAGTACGAAATAAGCTCTCGTGCTGTAACTTTGTTGAGGTCCAGGCCTTCATGAGATTTTGGATCATTCTCATCATAGTCTTGCACATAAATGAAAAACTTTCGAGCACGACGCTTCTCAAACAATCCCATGAGTGGAGATTTAAGTGCTTCCACATCATTAGCTGGTACTTTGTGGATCTGGAAACATAATGCAGAAGTCTATTAACTGATTCAGGGTGAAACAAAATCAACAGTTCAATATACGATATATTCATATAGATGCAGAAGTCTATTATGTTAGGAATCGCACCTTCCCTTTGTTATACACAAAACTACCATCTACAGCCTTGAAATTCAGATATTTAGTAACATCGGTGTGAATCAGGACGCGAACCAAAGCACCATTGGCCATCATGAACTGTCAAATTATGCACAAAGACTGTCATCAATATTCAACATCCAAGCAGACTTTTTTTTTTGGGTACTAACAATATTCAAGCAGACTTCAGTTAATAAACAAATTCCAGACTAATGACATTCCTGATCAAGGTTGTATCTTTACACCTTTGGAAAGGGATTAAAATAAACAAAGTGCAATTCAGGAACAGGATTTATTCTTGAAAAAATATTAAATATGATAAAGACGAGATTGTTACTCCAAATAGGGTTTCCTAGAGCTTGTTTTTGACTTTGCCAACCCATGAGTGACTGAACTTAGCTAGATCACATCATTTACAGGCAAAACAATTAACATGAGAGCCCATGAACATATTACAATCTTAAGAAAACACGGAAAATGGTACATCAACCTTACATATGACGATTGGGGGCCAATGAAAGGAAAGCGAAAAGAGAAGTCGAAGCACAATAGTAAGAAATTTATGCATCATTCTTCATACCTTGGGAATCATATCAACATTGTAGTCTCTACTTGAGCCCAAAGTTTCTGGAGGCTTATCCTCCCCCCTGAATCGCTTCCACAGCTACAAGAAAAGAAAAAAAGAAAACAAACCGAAGCCGGTACTTAAAGAGAAAGCATGTATGGGAATATCTTATAACAAAAGTATGTCATACTGTTTATCACCATGTCAAACTATAGCAGTAGGTTAGATTGTTAGCAATAACATTGCCGTTAAATAACTATTACAAAGATAAAAGCACATAATCCACCCGAAAACAGTTTTGAAGAAAAAGGAAAAAAAGAAAAACACTAACCTGGTTGAGATTAAGAGAGGTGGACTCTCCTCCATAATAGTCATTCCTATCCATATGCAGTACCTATTTCCAGTAAATAACATATTAGGAAGGAGCTAGCGGCCCAAAACATTCTTATCAATTAATGATCTAACTATAACAACAACAACAACAACACCAATGATTAATCTAGGTGTTATCTGTTGCAAATGGCAACAAATGAAACCTGATCAGAGTGAGATCCGCCATCCATGGTAAATACTGATCAACCAAAGTGATGCCAAAAAGTGAGCCATTTGTGTTTAGTTTATGTAAATGCATCTTTTTTTTCTTTCCATTTTTGTTATTTATAAAGTGATATAGGGGGAGGAGGATTCAAACACAAGACCTCGGGTGTATGAGTAATTGCTCTTAACCACTTGAGCTACAAGACCCTTACCTAATGCATCTCAAACGTACAATTTGACAAAATTCAAACAGCTAGAGTACATTATAAACATATATTTGAAATTTGTACACAGCGGAATTATACATCAAAACTAATTAACAATAACCAAAAATGCAAGTACATAAATAGGTAGGTGATTAATGTCAGAGTTAATTAGTCGTTTTGTTGTGATTCGCAAAGAAAGAAGTTTCATAAGCTTTCAAATGGAAAGAGAGATTATTGGATAATGAACCTTGAGACCATCAACTGAGAGGAGGCCGCTGAGAATGCATTCTTTGAGGCCCGTTCCGAGCACTATGACGTCGTATTCTTCATCCATGGCTGGCCCTGAGAGACAGAGAGATCAGAGGGAAAACAGAGTATTTGTTTTGTGTTTGTAATCTGTGTGAGAAATGGGAGGTTGGTTAATGGGAAGAAGAAGATTGTGATGAAGAAGTGAGGCTACATTTAAGCTAGAGAAGGAAGAGGTCTCTGTCTGACTATCTTAGCAAAGCCAGGCGTTCCTGCAGTTTCGGTTAAAACCGTTATTAGCCCCCCACGTATGGTTCCACGTGGAAGCGGCTACTTATAATGAATATCTTTTTATTTTCTTGGTTAAACATGTTTTATATAAGATAAAAAATTTGCGTGCATCCTTGTGACAATTGGGGGAGAAAGACGGGGTGGGGGCAGGAGGAGTCCATCACCGGAGAAGAGGGGATGTGGTCGGTGTAAAGTTAGGGAAGGGGAGGAGCCATTCCCTCCTTTTTAATATAATTGCCATGGTAGAAGATGTAAAGAAAAATTGCTATAATTCAGCTTATGGCTCCTGTCCTGTCACCAACAAATGCTTGCCACTTTTTTCCTCCTTTTTAGTATAGTTGCTAAGATTACTCATGTGCAGAGTTGGACGGAAAGCAATTAAGATTCTGTATTATTTAGCCAAACTGAATACTCATACAGCTGCCGTTTTCTAAAGTGACAGATGAAAACTTGAACATTATTACACGTTTCTTTAAAACACACAAAAAATATCAAGTGCAAATTTATGGAAATCCGATCGGGATCGGTCCTTGGCTATGCAGGTAATTAAAATGGGTTGTTGGTACGTCCATCTAAAATTGACAACTAGAACAAGTTCTTCCCACCCCAAAACTGGATAAAATCTTCAATAGTAGGACTTCTTTCTGCAAAATATATAAGAAGACAAAAGCAATATTGTAATAAACAAACAAAACTTCAGTGCATAAATACATGTGTGGCTTAGGAATCTAACTTGGAATGCTTTATATGGCTTTACAGACATTAACAGAGATGTGCATGAGAACAATCTATTGAACACAAGTGCAGTCCAAACCATCAAGATTAGGAACGTGAATGCGAGGATAAAAGATATATACTTACGCATGTTTCTTGCATCTCTCGTCAACTAGTAGCATCCTTGCATGATCCACACCTCCTTGTCGTATGGACTCTGTAAATTGCTCTGAAACACTCTCGAATGTGTATCCTTGTAGTTTAGTAAGGTGCTCAATACCCTGTGGCAGTCTCTCTAAGCTCAAGCACGTATTGATAATTAAGAAGTCAAGATTTGGCATCACCCCTTCCTCAATAGTTATCTTATTTAATAATGAGAAATTAGTGCCATATACGTAAGCGTCACGAAGCCTCTGCTTAAACAGAACCATTGCCCAAAATAGGAATTATCAAGGCAAAGCAAACGCAGAGAAGGCAATGCTTCGATATGAGGTGGTATCTCTTCTTCAAGTCTAGACCCACCCAGACGCAAATATATGAGAGAGTGGAGTGAACAAACCCAATGTGGTACCTTTTCCAATTTGCCGCTCAAGGTAAGTGTGTCAAGGAAGGGAGGAGGTGAAGACAATGCGTTAACTCGAAGAAAGTCCTCTCCATCTGCTACCCATAAACCCAACTTGGAAAGAACCTTCATCTCTTGAATTGAGGCACATAGGTCCTCCTCGTCTCTTTCTTTCACATTTGAAATGCCAAGGGCCTTAAGCTGGGTCATATTTCCAATAAGTCTAATGATATTTCCTTCGGATTCAATACATCCCAAAGACTGCAATTTCTTCATCTTACTAATTCTTGATGGTATTTTTACCCCAATTACCACGGAAGGACTTTGGTAATGGGTCATAACTAGATGTCGTAAGTTCAGCAACTTGGAAATCCCTCTTGGAAGTGCCTCTATTTTTGTCTTCATGATGTTCAACGTCTGAAGGTTGCTGAGCTGTCCTATGGATTCTGGAAGCTCCTTAATTGGAGTACCTCTCAAATTTAAATATTTTAAATTGAATAAGTACATTACTTCATCTGGCAGATTATCAATTGGGACATTCTCCAAATCTAGAACCCTCAACAAGGTACGGTCAAAAAGCAATGTCTTTGAGAAAGAGAACGAGGATGCGCCAGTTGCAAACACAAGAAAAGAACGAAGCCGTGACAAACCTTTGCATGAATATCCAATTTCTTCATTAGTAGTTTGAATTGACAAACGCAGGGCCCTAGTTTCTTCCATTGTTTCACTCCCTTCATGTACGGAACAAAACTTTACTTTTTCTGCTATTGACAAAGCAATTTCCCGCATAACGTCATGCATCTTACATGCGTGGTGGTATTCTTGATACCTTTCCTGTAGCATGTTACGAAAAATGAGTTCCATAACATAGCTGTTTGCAACTTCTTCTGGTGTTACCCCTTTGACACGTTCAACAAATCCTTCAGCGATCCACAATCTAGTGAGCCTTATATTTAAGATCACTGTATCTTCGGGGAAAAGGGAACAATATAGAAAGCATTGCTTCAGTCGGTATGGCAAATCATTAAAACTAAACAACAAGATGCTTTTCATAGGTTCTAGCAAAGGATTGTTTGCTAAATGCCAATTTAAGCTGTTGTAGACTGTGCTCCACTCTGTAAGTGACTTCTTAGAAGACATAAGACCACTCAAGGCTACGATCGCAAGAGGTAGGCCTTCACACTTCTCCACAAGTTCCCGAGCTAACGGCAGAATTTCTGTTGAACAAGATTTGTTTGGATAACTTGAGAATGCTTTCATGCTGAAGAGCTCCCACGAATCACCTTTTTCCAGCGGTTGAATCTTGTGAGCACGGCTTTCAACTCCAAAAGAAGAGAATGCTATGTCTTCTCTTCGAGTTGTAAGCATGACTCGACTTCCAAGTTGTTTATCTGGAAATGAAAACCTTATTTTGTCCCAAAGGTGGACATCCCACACGTCATCCAATACAACTAGGTACCTTTTAGTCTCCAAGTAGTTCACCAAAATCTCAAGCAATTCATTATAACTCATGGCATTCATGTCTGCAGGGACCTCTTCCTTCTTTTCTTTGTGGAATTCTTTGATCAATCTTCTAAGTAAGTCTTCAATCACATAAGACTGGGAAACAGTAATCCACGCATAGCATTCGAAATGTCTCTTTACAATGTCATCTTTGAAGGTCCTTGCAACTAGAGTTGTCTTCCCTGATCCTCCCATCCCGACCACGGACACAATAGTTTGGTGTTGCTCTTTGTTCATCAGCCATCCCATTAACATGTTCTTATCGCCTTCAATCCCGACGAGTTCATCCTCCTTTTGGTAAAGAGAAGACTCCGCTTGGTTCTGTACCCATCGGCGAATATCCTCAGAAGTACTTTTTCCTTCTACAGCTGCACCGCCGCCATATCTCTGATTTCTCTCATGAATAGCTCTAATCATTACAACAATTTTTTGTAACTTTTTGGCTATTCGACGCTTATACCAAAGGTTCTTGGGGAAGTGAATGGTTTTGCGGAGCCATCTTGCAAATCGACTGCCTCTGTGCTGCACGTATACGTGATACATGAATTCATCAATGATGTTTTCCACGTCATTGGCCGAGTCTCGAACGCTTCCAATCCACGCTTCCTCTACTTGTGTATTTGCTTTGTTGCCCTCGTCAGCATCCGCTAAGAATGATTTCATGAATCCCAGCTCCTGCTTAATCTCATCAACTTGATCACGAACACCCGCTATGGAGGCTGCTTCACTCTCGAGAATGGCAACAAATTTACCAATGAAGATGTCTGCTGAAGCTTTCGCCATAATGGCCTTATTTTTGTAGCTAGCATAATGATCAAAAGAACATATCTAGGGAGCAATCGCTCTGTTAAAGAGTGTTCATTTGTCTATAATAATCTACATAATTCCAGGAAAATTAAAAGTCAAATACTATAATAATCTATACATGTGGCTAAGAATGGTTGTGGAGCACGTGGCTAAGAATGGTGGTGGAGATGTCCCAAGTAGCAAAATATCTTAAGAAAGTGAATGGTTGAATATTGTGTTGTATTCTCAACGTCAAATAGTACAATACATATATACAACAATAGCCTTCTATCAACCCTGCTGTTAAGGCTGTGAAGACGTGATCCAATATTAGTGGGATTTGACCTACACTAATTTGGGCAAGTAAAGATATTACAATATTTACAAAGATATTTCCTAATACTCCCCCTCAAGTTGGAGAGTGAATATCATGAAGTCCCAACTTGTCGCGCAATGTCACAAATTGATCATTCCCTAAGGCCTTCGTAAAAATATCTGCCAATTGGAAGTGTGTAGGTACATACGAAGGACTAATTATTCCAGCTTGTAGTTTTTCTCGAACTATGTGACAATCAATTTCGATGTGCTTTGTACGCTCATGGAAAACAGGATTAGCGGCAATATACAAAGCTGACTGATTATCACAAAACAATGGTGCAGGAGCTATCTGTGGGACTTTTAAATCCTGTAGTATAAAGCGTAACCAAGTCAACTCCAAACATGTGTTGGCCATAGCTCGATATTCAGCTTCTGCTGATGATCTTGAAACATTGGTTTGTTTCTTGGATTTCCATGAGATGAGTGAATTTCCAAGAAAAACACAGTATCCTGTAACTGATCTCCTTGTCGCACGACAACCTCCCCAGTCTGAATCACAAAAAGCTTTTAATGTAAGATTGTTGGTGGCAGAAAATAACAAACCCTGACCTGGAGTCCCCTTGAGGTATTTAAGGACCCGTATGGCGGCATCCCAATGAGGTCTGCGAGGCTGATGCATGAATTGACTTAGTGTTCGAACAGGATAGACTATATCAGGCCTTGTGACAGTAAGGTAGATCAATCGGCCAACCAGTCTCCTGTATTTGGTTGGATCATTCAGTAATTCTCCATCTGTGGGAGTGAGTTTCAAATTCTGTTCCATTGGGAACTTGTCTGGGCGTGCGCCTAGAAGTCCTGAATCCTGCAAAATATCAAGTGCGTACTTTCTTTGAGACATGAAAATACCTTTCTTGGAACGAGAGAATTCAATGCCCAGAAAATATTTCAAATCTCCAAGATCTTTGATGCGGAAGCGTTTGAGAAGGAACTTTTTGAGACGTTCCATTTC